AGAGCTATTAACTAAATTTTAATCTGTTTTCCATCTATCCATGTCAAAGATAAACATCATAACAGTTACATCTATCACGCTTCCAATATACATGTACATATAATAGAAAGTTTAGTTCGGCAAATGCAGCCGATCAGAGGGTGTGACTTTGGCTTCCCATTAGTCACACTTGTTGATGTTAATGACAAGTTGCAATATGTGTTTGTTTATAATTTTATTCCTGCTAGTGTGAGGTTATTTTTTCTGCAGGTCTGTTGAATTTTTTCACTGAATGTCTCCATGCATTTTCTCTAAATACTGTGTAAATTCTGTGTTTCAAAACAGAATTTAAACTACATCAAATTTCTATTTTTAGTTGATATGAACTGGATAGAATTGTTAAATTTGGACTAAATATATCTGCGACTAATGTCGGTTTTTGAAATGTTTTTTTTTAGACGAAGACAACATAAACTTAAATGGATTGTTGATGTTGATGTCAAGTTGGAATGTGTTCATAATTTTATTCCTACTAATGTGAGCTTATTTTTGTTGCAAGTTTGTTGCATTTTTTCACTGAATGTGTCCATGTATTTGATTTAAATACTGTGTAAATTCTGTGTTTCAACTACATCAAATTTCTATTTTTAGTTCATATGATGTAAATACAAATATTACATTTGGGCTAAACGTATCTGCTACATTTTTTTATTATGCATAAGGAATGTTTGATTACTTATTGTCCGTGTCAGATATATTCGTCATGACAATTTCATCGCTTGTGCTCAGTGTAAGAGATGTCTTCGTCATCTTCAATATCCACAGTCATCTTGTCATTTTTCCTCATAAAAGATGTCCTCTACACTGCAGCCCAGTGCATTCTTGAGATAGTATTTTTGACTGACTTCCTTTAATGGTTTCATTCATTCTCTGTCAGGCTTCTTATATCCGTGTACATATAACAGAATTTTCTGGTCGACGAATGTGACTCCTTGCATTGAGTGACATGAGATCCGCTGCAAAGATTTGTTTCCACATCTTGCAAACAAGCTTTATTTATTTTTATATGAACATATCTGTGAGTTTGCTCAAAAGACTTTCCATATTTTCTTTTACCAAACCTAATGCTAACTCAATAAATTTTTATTTTTATTCAATATGAACCAGATCAAATTAAATTTAGTTTAAATTCCGCTATCGCAAATTCTAAATTATCAGTGTGTATTATACAGTTCATTTTTATTTTGTTAGCATTTCGTAACCCAAAGTTCAGTGTACTTATCATATATACCCTCGTATTATACTTGAATAAACACGATATTTCATTATAGAAACAATTGAATGTTTGGTTATCTCCAAATAACAACGATTGGCTTCAAAATGTTTTTTCTACCTGCCTGATCTGCCACTATGCAGATGATACGTCTATTGAAGAAAAACTTTGTCAGAAAAATAGATGTACATATTTTTCTGTATCATTTTTTTAATCATTTCGCCTCATGCAATACAATAAAGCCATTAAGACGCAAAGGGTTACTGAGTGTGAAATTATAAGAAAATAAAGAAACATTATGAAGGAGCGAGAACAATAGAAGAGGAATTAAGAAAACAATAGAATAACAATTGGAATTGCATTTAAATTTCTGAAGATCAAAGTTGGCTGGAAAGTATGGAGCCGGAGGAGAGTTCCACAAACGAAAAGTGCGATAGAAGAAGCCTTTGGCATAAAACTTACATTTATTCCTAACCAGTTCAGTTGTGGCTTGTTGAGAACTTGCGCCAATCTAGTACTACGCCTAAATTCATAACCAAAGACTTCATTCGAAGAATTACCATAAAAAAGAAAGGAACACGTGAAAAATCATGATCATCTACCTTCTACATATAATGCGAAATTATCTCTTCATCGATCTATATATTTTAGTCTAACTAACTAACTATCTATCTATCTATATCTATCTATCTATCTATCTCTTTTCTTAATATTTATTTTCCTTAAGACAATTACACAATCTTTATTTTCCTTATAAAAAAGCTTATGTTTTCTGAATTTCTTATATAAAGCATTCTCGTTATTATTTTTTCCATTAATTTCGCTGGTTAGATTTCATTGTTGAGCTAATGTTTCAATTAGTAAAATATCGGTTTCTAATATCTTTAAGTTAGCACGATTTAGAATTTCTTTTTACTGGAACAGATTTAAGTTGTCCGAATTTGTTCAATGAAGCATTTTTTTTTACATTAATTTTCAAATCAAATGAACAAATTCCGACAAAAATCTGTTCAGGTATACATTTTTAAAAAAATCATACAAAGCAGCAAAGTCACTATGACACAAGGAGTTACTGAGAGTGAAAGGATAAGAAAAAAAAAGTGAAACATTATTAAGGAGCGAGAATAATAGAAGAGTAAATAAAAGACAGTAGATAACGATTGACATTGGATTTAAATTTCTGAAGGTCAAAGTTGACTGGAAAGCATGGAGCCGTATGAGAGTTCCACAAACCTGATAAATGATAGAAGAAAGCTTTGGCATAAAACTTACATTTATCCCTAACTAGTTTAGCTGTGGCTTGTTGAGACCTTGCCGCCAGTCTTGTACTACGCCTAAATTCATAACCAAAGACTTCATTCGAAGAATTACCATAAAAGGATTTATAGCAAAAGCATAAAGAAACAACATTATGACGTTAGGAAAGTGGTTTTTTTAACTATTTCCTTGGAAATTTCACAATCATACACACCTTGATATACGCTTACAAAACGATAACACAATAATTAAAAAAAAATTTTAATTGTATTTATTACGATTTGAATTTGGAGATAGATAAGTGACTATAAAGAAAAATAAAAAAAAATGTACGTAGATTATAATGACTGGCCGTTCGTATCCAAGTATGGCTGTCTCCTAGGGCGGTTAGGGACGACTGCTCAGGCACATCTGTGTTTGTTAAAGATCCACTGACCTATGATTTATACTGCAGCTATGCTGGCCGTTACAGTTTCTTGGAGAGAGTGTATTATCTGACGTCATCAACAGTCTGAACACGACCACTACGCTCAAACTCTCGTTCACGATGAATTGTTACTTCGTGATAGCACAAGCATCGATCGATAGCTCGGAAATAGTTCCGTATATGCAATTTCACTCACATTGTTTCGGTCAACGCGTAGTATGGTTTTCAGGTACCTTCCAAAGGTACCGCCACACGTTAGGATCGCTTGCCCAATAACATCAAGAAGTCAATCCTCTTGTCAAATCGACATATATATATATATATATATATATATATATATATATATATATATATATATATATATATTGAACAATAAAAAATATTAAAAAATTAATATTAAAAAATTAAAATCTTTAGACACACTGGGTTGTAGATTAATATTCTTTCGTTTTATTATTATTATTATTTCATTTAGATTCCTCGACTAGTTTCGACAAAAATGGCCATCATCAGGAGGAGAAATATTTCTGTTTGCTGGTAGCAGTGAACTACAGAAATGAATGTCTTTTGTTGGAGAAAATGAACTTTTGTCTGTAGTTTTCATTTGTTTTTTTATTTTTTTATCTTTTTAACATGAATCTTTTAACATTCCTTGTGTTGGTCAAACAGTCTCTTTTAAGTTGTTATTTGAGATAAGAGCTGGATGGATCTATGCTTCTCTGAATTCCCGTGGTCATTTTGACAGTTTTATTGGTCCTGGAGAGGGGATATGTCTCTGTTCAGTGTTTGTGTGTGTGTTATTTGGTTCTTAGGGAGTGAGTGAGTATGATATGTTTAAGCGTGTGTATTGCTGTGGGTGTGTGTTATCATTTGGCTCATTAGGGAGTGAGTGAGTATGATGTGTGTAAGTGTGTATATTCGTGTGGGTGAGTGTATAAGTGTGAGGCCTCCATTCCTCCGTAAGCATGTCTGTCTTGTATGGGTGAGAAATGTGGGTGGGTTTTGATTTGTTGAGTTATATATTGGTACTATCTGTATTGTTAAATTTATATATATATATATATATATATATATATATATATATATATATATATATATATTAATTTGCTAGAGGTTCTAACCAACACCGAATTGGTTAATCATCTCACATCACACAGTCTTCTTTCAGATAAAAATATGGCTTTCTTATCTCTAGGTCAACCATCGATGCTCTAACGGTTATTACTGAATTTGCGTGAATTGTTTGCGTGTGTGCAAATATTTGGATAATTACTGGTATAAAGAGTTATCATAAATTATATTCATTCATTGGGACTATGGTACACATTCTCCTTACAATCGTTCTTCTCTCCGACCATATTCAGGTGTCTGTCGATGCTGGTAACTTTCAGAAGATTTCGAAATGAACCGTTTATTCAATCTGCGGGAGTAGATTGTTCTCGTTTCACTTGACCTCTTTCTATTTAGTACTTCTCATTTCTTGTCCACCCTATTTTCCTTCAGTATAAATGTTTGCTTTATCCCACCTATGGATTGAACTTAGAAATTGAAGTCTTAAACTATCCCGCCTGAGGTGGGTCGAGCCATACAACGGCTGGTAAATATAAGTTGTTAATGAATGGGTTAAACTATTTTGGTTGGTTGGTTGGTTGATTGATTGATTGGCTGATTGATTGATTGATTGATTGGTTAGTTGGTTTATATGTTGATTGATTGATTGGTTGGTTGGTTGGTTTGTTGGTTGGTTGAATGATTGGTTGGTTGGTTGGTTGATTGATTGATTGGTTGTTTGGTTGATTGGTTGGTTGGTTGATTGATTTATTAGTTGATTGATTGATTGATTGATTGATTGGTTGGTTGGTTGATTGATTTATTAGTTGATTGATTGATTGGTTGGTTGATTGATTGATTGATTGGTTGGTTGGTTGGTTGGTTGGTTGGTTGGTTGGTTGAATGATCATTTGCACGTAAGAGAATGTAACGAACTCGACTGGAATTTGAACTCGGCTCTCCGATTAACAATTTCTAGCAATTACCCATTACAACCCCAGCTGCACATCCAAGCTTACAGCACCTGATATTTCCAAGCGGTCACCCATCTCTGTACTGACCGGATTCCACTTTGCTTTACTTCGATGATCGTACGGGAACCGGTGTATCAACGTGATGTGGTTATAAGCCTTAAAATATTTTGGGATTTATTGTAAATTCTTTCATTTATTAATTCAGTCTTTGTATTTATTTTTTAAAAATACAAATTTCATCAAACGTGTTCACTTGTACTATACAAAAGTTTCCTCCCCAGACTTATTCAACCATTACAAGGAAGCGATCTTGAGAAGACTAGATGTCCTGCCAAGTTTTATTACTGGCAGGAAAAATACTGACAATATAAGATGTGCAGATTGACACAGTGGTGATAGCAGACAAGGTAAACTATGGCCACTCCTGGAGAGGGTAGTGACGGAAAGTGATAAGAAAGACAAATAATCAATTTTAAGAAGACAGACTGTATGGTTGTCAGCAAGATGGAGAGTCAAAGATGGGAGCTACGTATTGAAGATACCAAAATCACTACTTTATGGGATACGACAAATAAAAGGAAAAAATGCTATGGCTGATTGCATGCAATAAAAATGACCAAATATGAAGGAAAAGAATCCATTTCTGCAGGATTATTCTTCTATATGCCGTGTTCCTTCAATTCTACGATGTTCATGAGTCTTCACAATTTCCTATCCTTCGTAGTTCTTAGTAGCGTTTGTCTTTCTCATACTACTCTCAATACGTCTTTGGATATCCATCTATACAAGCTCGTTAGGTAGGTTACTCACTGTTTCCCTCTGTTCATCTTGTCTTCATATACCATAGGAACATCATATTCTCCAAACCCACTTCCCTCATTATCTATCTTAGGAATTTCAACCGTTTTCTTTTCTGATTCTAAGTATAAGTGACCCTATTTGTTTCTATTTTCATTAAAACGTCCCCGTTACTGAGATGTTCAGGCCATAGTATTCTCATCATTATTATGTAGAACCGAATTGCTGCTGACTCAAGTTCTCTTTTACATCTATGATAGAATTGTCTAGAAGATTCTCTCTCATAGGCAATATAAAGATTAGCTTAAACTCTGAAAATTACAGAGTTGCTTTTCCTAGAAGTTTGTTGATAATCGTTCGAAAATATCAGTCCTGATTGATAATAAATAATATCTTAATAGATTTAAATTTCGAAAACTTTTTCATATGCCAACTTTGTTGCTAGAAACAGACAAGACACACACTGCTTACATAGATGTTTTCTATTAGGAATACTTTGTGTAAAAGCATGGTAATAAGTTTTTCGGTTGTTGGCAAAAGTTGGTGGGATTTTCTTTTTCAATGGAATCTGCAATAATTCGAAAATACGTCATCAGGAACCGTGTTTATCAAGGGGATCGCCAAAAAGAGATTATGTTACCTCATTTGGTCGGTTGCAGTTTGACATTAAATCAACTTAATTGGAGATGAGGAAACGTGTTTTCTTTTGAAGACGATTATCATTAGAAAACGATGGTGCGCATAAAGTGATAGACGCGGATTTGTATTAGATTCTCAGATTCTATCACATGTTGCGCATAAGATAAAGGCACTACCGTATTTAGGAATAAGAAGACATTCACACGCAATATATATATATATATATATATAAAGAAAGATGTCAGATGTCATTGAAAAATACATCCCTACCCCTACCAAAACGTAACAACTAATACATCTACAGCGATAATGAACACGCAATCACCCTTTGTCTGGTTGAATTGGATTTCTTTGTAACCTTGGAAACGTGAATTATGATTTTTGCTGTCTTTAAAACCCAGTAATTTTAAAATTCGCTTGAGGATGAAATGGAACTAATGTCTTTAATTTAATTACAAAATTAAATTCGAAGCTTTCAGCTTCCATTTTTGAAACATGGTTAGAACTGTGTAGCGAAAAAAACTTATTTTAAATTAATTAATTTATAATATTATATATATATATATATATATATATATATATATAGAGAGGGGGAGAGAGAGAGATAGACAGACAGACAGACAGACAGACAGACCTCATGTAGTCATATTCCTTAATTTTCTTTGAATGTTAGCGAGAATACTATGGGCACGGTAAACCAAATTTTCCAAACTCGAATTTCAATTAGTGTTCATTTTGTAGCGGCAACATCACTTCTTGTTAAGAAAACTAACTACAAACACTCATTGCATTCGGTTGAAAACTTCCAAAATAAAAAGAATTCAGCACAGACGTGTTTTCATAAATATATTATATACATATATAGCAATGAAATAAGGAGATAAATATATACGTATGTGATTAGCTGTGCATGCATGCGTGTGTATTTGTGTCTTTCTGCGAGCGAGCGCCACGTAGTTTGGTTAAAATTAAGTAGTCGGTTTACTTCATGCGACCAAATCGCCCCAGAAGAGAAAAACTAGCCGTCTTGTCACTACATCATACTGTGGGTAGGTCAATTTTTTATGTCCTTCTTTATATACTGCTTTAATACAATGACATCAAGCGAGTGTTAAGAGAAGTGTCCTTGCAGCCAACGTGAGGATAATCTCTCAGGTTTAGTAGCTAAAATATTCCGGTGAATTTACTACATATGATAATATCTATCATTCTGTATAAATTGCGCAATTACGAGCTTCTGGAATCTACTTTGGTTTTCGAAATTTTTACACCATAAATACACATACATGCACACACAATGAGATACGTACACGTCCTCTGGCTATCCTTTTATCAATCGAACGATGGCCTGGAGGCTTTGTACGATGTGTAAACGAAAACTTAGTTTTATACTTGATAACAAATGAATAAGACTTCAGGTAGGAGCTTATATTTACATTATGCGAAAACATACATTATAGATCACTGATAGAACATATTTTATCTCTTTTCACACGCACACACACATGCACATATATATATATATATATATATATATATATATATATATATATATATATATATATATTTCATTGAATGTGACAGACAAAGAAAAGTTGTTTAGTTCAGTGTTTGCAATTTTCATAGTTTTTTTTTTTTTAGAGTACAGGAAATTCTTCATAATATTGCTTCGAACGTAAATACAGAAAGATATGCTAACGATGAAGCCCTTTAAAATGTCTAGTGAATTGTCCCAAACAATAATCATTATAGAAAGTTATTGCACTGACTTAGTTGTCCTGAAATTATAAATACTGTAAGAACACTACAAGAGACCGATTAAAAATGTATATTTTTTTCTTGCCCGTCACATTCAATGAAAGATTGCTGCCCAACAAGACAATATATATATATATATATATATATATATATATATATGTGTGTGTGTGTGTGTGTGTGTGTGTGTGTGTGTGTGTGTAGTGTTAAAAAATAATGTCTTTTTTAATTTTTTTCTTTCTTTTTAAAAAGTAAAATGTCAGAAAATTGTTTATAAAGTATACTTGAAAGCAAATTCAAGGAAAAAGAATCATATCCGCTCAAGAAGGAATTCAAATAAATTTTTGATAGATAGATAGATAGATAGATAGATAGATAGATTCATGTGGGTGATATATAAAATTGGGTGTCGTAATAAATGGGAGGGTTAGAAACGTGCTAAAATCTAATATCCAGGTGTTTCAATAAAAGGAGCGGTTGGAAAATGATTAGAAACCCTAAAAATAAATGTCCATAAATCGCTCATATTTTCCTAACTGTTGCCAACGTTAAATCTCTATGAAGACAATTGTTAATAAGTGGGCCTCCTAAAAATCGTGGAAAAACTGGTAAATCTTTCAAAAATGAAAAAGAGTGAGAAGAGGTTTATTTGGCGCCAGAGAGTGAATAGACAAACAGACAGATAGATAAATAGATATGATTATGAGAGACGCCCCACTACAACAAATACAATAGCATCATCTCTAATACTTAAATCTGTTATACTTTGTACTAATGTATGATCAGTAAGAAAATATCTACTAAAACTAAGAGTTTACTTAAAATGATTTTAAAGTAACAGTTGTTTTAATTTTACAGTAACAGTTTTATTGGTTGTTTGTAACTGTAGCTGTGTCGAAGTCTCTGTGAATTTTAAGAGAGACAAGCTATCTCCACAAAATCGACCAAATACGTGAGAGAACTGTGTATTCCCACTGTGCTAGTGGTTGGTGTTCAACCTCGGATAAAATCCAATATTTCCAGTGCTGATTTATTTTGAATGATTGGCACAAAACAGTCTTCCTAAAAGCTAATCATTGATTATATCCAAACTAATCATTTCTGCAGTTTTTCTTTTTCATTTTATTGTATATCAAGTTTCAAAAGAAAGATTTCTTTTAACTTGTTTTTTTTTTGTTTTATTTTGTTTTTTTTGTTTTTTTGTTTTTTTGTGGGGCTAGATCTGCCAAGATTTCACTCTCCAGCCTTGATAGAATTCAAAAGCGTCTTCGAGTCCTGGTGGGTGACGAAATATTCTTCGCCCTTCAACCTCTCTCTAACAGGTGGGATGTGCTAAGCCTCTCGTTGCTCTGCTGCTACTTCCACGGAAAGTGCTCGGACGAGCTACATTCCCCGGTTTCAGCGAGGCAAACATTCACAGCAAGAACACCCCCTATCACTTACATATTAGCAAACCACCCCCATTCCCTCCGTATTCCATTAATGAGAAGTAAGTTCCACTCGAACAGCTTCTTTCTGCAAGCCACTTGAATGTGGAACCAACAACCAAGACAATGTTCCTCCGATCGCTACAACTCCGAGCACTGTACACACAAATGTCATCCAAATATAACCCTCTACATCGAGTGGCTCCCGGGTCTGGTAAAGAGTGAACCTCTCGGTATAAAAAAAAATTGAGACACTGATTTGTTTTTTATTTTGTTTTTATTCAATTCACGTGTTGTCAGCGAAAGTATTTTCGAGCTTCATGTATTTTACCGAGATCTTTACACGATTTCTATGTAAATTTCATATAGTTATAATTACTTAGTCTGGATCCTGAATATAGACAGAAGAAAAAAAAATATCTTGCTGTGCCAACATTCCAAATACGGTTTTCTTGCGACTCTTAGAAGTCAGCATCCAAAAGTCCTGTTTTCTTATGCGAATATTCATGAACATTTTAAAATGCTGTGGT